GGAGGGCACCTTTTGGGATGAGCACTGGGTGTTGTATGGAAACCAATTTGACAATAAATTTCATATATAAATAAAAAAAAAAAAAGCCTTGGGCTTGGACAGCAAGGCTCAAATGTGCCAATTTGGTCCATCCCGAGCCATTTGCACTTTAAGGATTGAGGATACAGTCAGAAGAAGGAGAAGGCTAGAATCCGTGACTTAGGATCCAAGAAGCAAGACTGTTTTAATGCCACTATGGTCTTGAGAGGGGTCTAAGGAAAAGAATAAAGTCCTTACCAGTCTTACGTGGGTAAGGACTGGGCCCAAGGCAGTGATTGCCACATTAGCCAAATCTTATTCCTCCTCATCCTGAGATTTTCAGTTTAGTAGAGGAAGTAGAATATGTTTGCAAATGACCATATATAGGGTAGGTCAGAATGCCATAGGTATAAAGGAAATTCAGTATTATGACTCAGGAGTGGACAGACCTTACCGTTGCGGAACAACGTACAATTAATAGAGTCTTACAGCCATTGTCACAGTTGATGTTAGATCTTCTCGGTGTTTATTCGAGCACCCGCTGTATGCCAAGCACTGCACTGGATACCAGCACACACACACATTACCGAACTTAATCTCTCAACCGTTCTGTGAGAGGTAGCCTTTGTGGGTCATCATACTGAGGCAGAAACCCAGGCCCAAGGAAGTGAGGTTTCCTGTTCAAGACCAGTGAGCTAGAATGTAACGCTTAGGATTTAGGGACACGGAATGTGAAAGCCCCCTCGATAAGAAGAAAGGTGACTTTCTTCTTTTATTTATTTATTTAAAAAAATTTTAATGTTTATTTATTTTTGAGAGAGACAGAGACAGAGAGTAAGCGGGGAAGGGGCAGAGAGAGACAGAGATGCAGAAACTGAAGCATGCTCCAGACTCTGAGCGGTCAGCACAGAGCCCAACAAGGGGCTCAAACTCACGGACCGTGAGATTATGACCTGAGCTGAAGTCAGATGCTTAGTTAAGCCACTGAGCCAACCAGGTGCCCCGACTTTCTTCTTTTTTTAAAAAAAGTTACTGTTTACCCTCAGAAAGTTCTTCCTGGTTGGATTTATTAGGCTAGGAGAACACAGGACTCAATGCTTACACGGCACTCATGCTCTTAGCATCCAAGGAGGAGAAGACAACTCTCACAGTGCTTAGGAAAGGTAGCCTATTGTTTTCTCTTATGCTTAAATTGTTTTGTAAAACACTACTAGACATTTACGTTGGTCATCAAAATGGCAAACATGACAAGAAAGATGATTAAAAATTGTATCTGTTTTGGGGGCGCCCAAGTGGCTCATTCGGTTAAGTGTCCGACGTTGGCTCAGGTCACAACCTCACAGTTTGTGAGATGGAGCCCCACATCAGGCTCTGTGCTGACAGCGCGGAGCCTGGAGCCCGCTTCAGATTCTGTGTCTCCCTCTCTCTGTGCCCCTCCCCTGCTCTCACTCTGTCTCTTTCTCTCTCTCAAAAATAAACAAACATTTTTTAAAAATTGTATCTGTTTTGGAAAAAATCATGAATAAAACTAATGGTTTCTTCTTCTAGGTTCATATTGTGATAGAAAATGTAAATACTTCAGGAGAGACTCTGAATAGTTGGGGGATCTGATGTACTGGTATCATTTTGTTGCAAAAGTTTTATAGATTCCTGTCTGTGGGCTTTTCTTAAATCCTGACACATCAGTTACCTCCAAGTTGGGGTCTGTTCTTATTTTTACAAAGCACTGAATTGGTAGCCTTTGCTTTATTTCACATACTTAATTGCGTAGCTGTATTTTTCTACTGGCCTAGCTTACCTATGGACCATAAAGGAAGGCTTTGGGTGGAAAAGGGGTCAGTGGACGCATGAGGGAGGGCCTTCTCTCCTGCACCTTTTTCATGCGAAATTGTCCGCACTGACACCCTGCTTGTGATTCTTCAGCCACTGGAAACGCGTTACTAGAAGAAATGTCGCGGCTTCGAAGCTCACTCCCTTTGTGTCTCACACGGCTTTTTTTCCATTTCTCTAATAATGCATGAATACCTCCAGAATTTGAGATTCTGAGAACATGTCACCTGAGTAAACACATTTCTTGTGCTGAAAGTACTAATCGGAGATTTCACTCAAGGAAGGACGAGGATGGGTAACTGCTGTTCTGTAGAAAACCGTCACTTGATGGTCTGTTTCATACCGACTCCCCTCTTAGTTCTTTCCGTGAGTATCCTCAGAGAGAACCCATGTTTTCTTCAGAAAAGTAGAGAAAGGTTTGCTGGAGCCTGTCCGGAGCTGTGATGGTTGAACCAAGCAGGGGTGGGGAAGAGTAAGGTCATTTGGTGGAATCAAAAGCCCAGAGTGGGAAGTGGCCATGGCATGTAGTGAGGACACGGGTCCTTCCTGTCAGACATACTGAGGTGAGGAAGGAGGGCATGCATGTTTTCAAAGGTCATAGGAGACAAAGGACAGGAGGACCCAATTGTCACGGCCCTTTAATGCCACACCAGGTTTACATCTTCTGCTCTAGAAAACGAGAGAGCAGTGGAAGTTCCTGAACTCCAGACTGTGGTGACAAGATCAGTGTCTGTAGAAGCTTAGGAAGGCCTTAAGAAACCTGGTTAAGTAGTTTACAGCAGTAAAACGGGCAGGTGCTTGTAAACACTTGGTCAGCCATGATTCCATCTCTGCTGTTTCTTTTGTAGATATGTTAACTATAGTTTTCTAACTGTGAGAAGAGTCCCCATGGCTTTGTCATTCACATACTAACCCAACACCTTGCTTACCCTCATGCATTTCCTTGCAGCATAACCTCCTCACGTAAAACTTGCATAATTTTATTAAATAGCAGAAGTGGTATGGACCTTTTTTCCTTTCCTTTCCTAGTCCAAAACTTTTTAAAGATAAATGCCCAGAATCAGGGGGAGTATTAATTTTAAAAAGTCAGCATTTTGCAAACATTCTTGGAAGAAGTCTACCTTGGTCTTGAGAAAACATTTCAATGAGCATATTTGCCCAAAGGAAACAGCAACATTCTGTTCTGAAATTAAGTTTGTAAACACTGGAAGATTTTATTTCAATTTTTAATACGGTGTCAAGAAACATTGCAAACCAGGGCAAAACGTTACTTAGTGCAGAACTGCATCCCTGTGAGGTTGATAATGTCACCTGTGTTGAAGGTAAATCTTTTATTTTTCCTTCAGCTGAGCCCCAGAGGAGAGGTTGGTGTTTGAGTCCAAGTTATGAGGATATTCCCCAGAGTACTCCTGCATGGATGAAGAAAGATGTCAGGTTGGGGGCATCCAAAGAAAGAGAGCACCTATCCAAGTCACCCAGGGAGGAAGAGACATGACCTCTGGACTCCACGAACATTAATGCCACATCCGAGTGCGTTCTTTTCCATATTACGTTTCCTTTTGCTCCCTCTAAGTCTGGATAAAAATCTAGAGCCTGGACTTAGCTGTGCTTTGGGAAACTAAGGGAAGGGTCTTGGTCTCCACCAGTCTTAGGGAGCACAGAGAGGACAATAGCCACCCAGGGAAGGCAGGTGAAGGACGGCAAGGAGTCACTGTCAGAATCTCTTGGGGCTGCAGCTGGCTGGGTCATGAGTGACTACCAACAGAGATCACTGGAATACGTAATCAAGCCTTCCTCAGAATCCCCCAAACATGCTGGGGGAGGGAATCCGGTGAAAGAGTGGGCTTTGTAGAAACAATCACACAAAATGCAGAACGCTGAACCTCAAACCAGAGTGCCCCTACCTCCTCTCTTAAACTTGGTCACCTCCCTTCTACAGCAGATCCTAAAGAACCCCAACCTTTAATCCCTGGAATTTGGGGGTTCCACACTTCTTAAGATCTACCTGGCAGTTAGAAACATGTCCCATTTTCTATCAGTTTTTCAGAGGAAGTTCATTCGAATAGCCTGTCCTAACCTTTGTTCCCTGCCTTCAACCTCGTCTTGCAATCATAAGGACAGCAACTAAAAATAGCCTATTCTACCTGCCACTTCCATACTGCTAATTTTTTGTACATTTTGTTGTCAAACATTGTGAAGTTTTAAATAGGTTTTATTGATTGATTCTCGATTTTCCATCTGACTTTTGGTCTTTTAAGAACACCATTTAATTAGCTAAGCGTAATCACCCCATACGTAAATCATGATTCCCTTAAACTTGAGAAGCTAGCAAAAATATGTGATGCTTTTTACCTTTTATCATAGTCCCCATCACATGTGCAGTTAGGAATGTCATCCCTCCTGTTCTCCACTGAAGTGCTTTTCAGCAGAAATCCTCCACATCTTTTTCAAAAGTCTCTAACCACAAGTTTACATGTGGGGGCCTTCATTTACCCAGTCTGCCCTTGTTCCCAAAGCTCTCAGCTGACTACTAATTAATGGTACGTTTTCACCGCAAATCCTGATCTGTCATAAAACACTCTGAGATTCGGTTACCAGCAAATCTCATGACCTAGAATCTTACATACCTGAAGTCGTGATTTTGAATTTCCCCCTGACGTTTAGTTTTGTTCCACCAAAAGTAATTAATGTAAGCTTCTAAAAAGCAGAAATCAGGTCCTATCCTTCCCTTGTCTGCTCTTTCCCGCTCACGTAGGTCAAGCAGTTAGAAGAGGGACTCAGCAAAAGTGTCGGCAGGGACTGATGCTCAGGAACTTCCCTGAGGCTCAGAACGCTAGACCTGTAGCAGCAACACTGCACCTGAGCAAGGTTTTGGCCAGTGCCATCCATAGAAGTTACCCTCCTATTTTAAGGTTGGTTCTGGCTAAGTCCTTCACTTGGTCAACATTTACCGAGCACCTACAATGAGCTGAGACCTCACAGCTGAGTAGGATATGAACCTGCCACTCCAGGAGGTCAGGATGTAATGGGGTAAAGGCACTTTTCATCAGTAATGACTACACAACGTGGTAGGTTCGTGACAGCAATTAGCATCCATCCCGTAAAGGTTTTGTTTTGTTAGAGTCACTGAGGAAGAAGCCACGTTCTGGGCAATTGAGGACATACCGATGGTTGTTCTGGTCACTTTTTTTACTGAAGGCCAGGCTCATGAAGCAGGGGGGAATGTAGATTCCGTCGTACCTGAGGCAGGACACAGGTTCCACCCGAACTCTGTGATGTCTGTTTCCTCATGTAGCAGATGGAGGTCTCAGAGTGTAGATGGGAAGATAAAATTAAGGCAAGGAATGCAAAGTGTTTTACACAGTGTCTTGTGCTATTGGATTATGTAGTTATTAAATGTGTTTGTGCTGTCTTTACAATTAAGTACCACTTAAAGCTCTGTTCCTTTCTACACTCACTCAACAGGTATTAACTTAATAAAGGAATTGAGAAACAAATATTTTTAATAAAGCAGAAAATAGAAAAAGGTAAAACGGGTATTTTAACTGAGCACTGGTCAAGATTGCTTCTTGGCTAGGTTGCCCACCTCTGGCCCATTTACCCCAACCAGAGTAATCATACCATCCTGAATTAAATGGAGCTCTTTCAAGAAACTGCAAAACTAAAGGACATCCAGTTTATAGGCCATATAAAGCCTAAAGTGATGTGTTGTTTGAACACATATATTTACTTACTTACTAATTTAAAATCGTTTCATTTCATGAATAAACTTCACAGGGAAAATTAGAACAATGAACATATAAACAACTTTCTAACATAATGTGTAGTTTTAAGTGGGGTGAAAAAGCCTGGGACTGCAATATATAGAAGCATAAATAATGCTGTACACCCAGTAAAATAGGTGGAAGATTATATCCATAAAAGACAGATTACTCAGAAACTGAGCCTACTAAGGCAATATATTTATCTGAATATTTCATGAGAAAAGTTTAATTTAAATGCTTCATAAAATGTGAAAATGAAAATTTGAAATATTTTTGTAAGTGATTTTACATATGCATAGATAACCAGTGACTAAGTTGAAGAAGAAAAATCCTCCTCGCACAGTTTACCTTTCCACAGGCTGTAGACTTCCTGTCAGGGCCTGCAGCCGTCAGTGTAAACTTCATGTTTGCTCCACTGAGCCTCTATTCCACCTAATGATTCAGGTATTTGCTATACTCGCCTTCTTCCTGTCACTACTCATTTTTCCCCCTGGTTCTTCCTCTAATCTGCCTACTTCTGTTTCTGGTACAGTTTCTTGAGTATCTTCTAGAACCTTTTGTTGGCACTGTGATCTCTCCTTTCCAGCCCCAATAATGGCACCAACAATCAGACTTAAAAATACTATTAAAAGAAATAAGGCGAATAAGTACACCATCCTGGAAAGGCCTTTGCTTTCATCTTCATTCTCACAACCTCTGCCAGAATTACTACGAGAAACACTATGACTTCTGCTTTCATCTTCACTTGGATTTCCATCATGTGGCTTTCCAGGAGGGCCACTGTCCACACTACCCCCATTTCCTGCAGCTTTGCAGTCAGGGGGTGCATAGCCAGCCTCACAATGACAGTGCCTTAAATTGTTGCAGACTCCTCGCCCATTACACATTTCATTAGGTTCACAGTCGTAGTGGAGCACGGCATGATCAGTGCAGGAGTAATTCATGCAGACTTTGTGTGGGGCACAAAGAGTGCCGTTGTGCACCTCTCCATCATCGGGGATGTCAGTCATGTTATAGGCATCCGTGCTCCAGCACCAGTCATCTTTGTGAGGTACCTGGATCAGAGTATGGTGGGGTTTGATTGCTGGTATCCGTCTAATATTTGTACATATAAGTTTCCCACAAAATATATGATCATCAGAGCAATTAACATACTTTGTCCTAGACGAGGCCCACAAGCCACAGTTCCCGAACCGGTCTCCTTTGGTGTTCATGGAAATATAACAGTGTTCTGGGGCAGACCTTGCAGGGGACCCATATATATCCACACATTGATTATCAGGGTTCTTACACCGGCCGCCAAAACAATAGTGAATTCTGTCACACAATGTGCCATCTTGCTTATAGCGGTCTATGGGGCATTCTCCGGAGGTACCATCACAATATTCAGGGAGGTCACACTCTCCAAGAGCAGGACGACACATGAATCCCTTATGTCTCAACTGGCAATCAGAACAGCATAGTCCATCACTACACTGTGCGTGCTCCTTCAGCCTACATGTTTGGTCACAGCACCGGTGATCACTACAGTCAGGTCCGCAGTCACACTCCTCATTGTCCTCCAACACACCATTTCCACACTCTGCATTCCTACGCAGGCGATGTTG